TTACTTTCAGACAGCTTTATTTTATTCAGACCTTTATTTGTATTATTCTAGAAGCTCGTGCACTTATGACACCAATTCTTGGATAGTATTTTGACACCAATTCTAGGATGGTATTTAGACACCTATTTTTATGGATTATTCATTATATTTCAGACCTTACTTCCGCATTTATTTCTTTGTTATTAATAAATTTAAAAATTATTTTAAAATGGCTAATATTATTCTAACTTTGGCTTGCCTAGCAAGTGAAATATTAGGCACCATCACGGTCCGAAGGTAGAAATTTCGGGTCGTGACAGTTTGGGGTATAAGCTAATACCGGATAATTTTTACACTAAAATAGTGAGATTAGTTATCTCATATAGAAGGTGGGATAATTAATCCCATGGGATATCCCACCTCATGAGATATTCCACCATTGTACCAAATAACCCCTTAGGGTATATAAATTTATTTCATAAAAAGAGCGTTAGAGTTAAAAAAAAAAAATTGAACAAAAAGTAAAAAAAAGGTTAGTATAGTATTAAGATTCAAAACGCCATACAAGTGTTTGAGGAAGCATAATCAAAGCTAAAAAAATGAACAAGAATAAGCTTTCAAGACTATATTATAAAGAGTCGACTCTTGTATATCGGAATTTTCTTTTGTAGATGCCTCCGGCGAAATCGAAATAATATTTTTATGTCATGCATTACTTGCAAATGTTAGACCACATGCATGATACTGTTAGCAATAATAACAAGTGGTGTACCAACAATAATTTTATTATGAGATCACCCACTTTATATTTGATATACTTCCTCAAACAACTGAAATGACCATCACAAATATATCAAAGCAGCGCAATATTGTTAATAATGAAAGCAAAATTAATAAGATGGGATGAAGCGTTTATGGCTAAGTGTCAAACGATCGAAATAACTGTCCGGAGTTCTAGAGATATACTGAATGTCATGAACCGTTTGGTGGAAAATTAATGATTTAGGAGGTGATTTCTGTCAAATACTACCAGTAGTTTCAAAATCGACGAAAGCAAAAACTGTAAAAGTTAACTTGCCAAAATTATACTTATGGCCTCAAATGAAAAAAAATTCAACTGATAAGAAATATAAAGTAAGAATAACATCCAGTATTCAGTGACTTCTTTCTTCGTGTCGGAAACGAAAAAGAACATCCAATAAAAGATGATTTGATTCTTTCAAACACTTGGTTATCAACCTCAGTGGAAAGAGTAGTGCATTTAATAAGGGTAATATTTCCATCATTAGATTAAAACACAATTTGCAAATTGCATGATAGAAATTAAAAAGTTATTTTAGCTAGCACAAATGAATATGTTGATCAACTAAATAAAAGATTGATAGCAAATTTCATGGTAAAAATAAAATATTTTTCAATTTTTGACTTAGCAGAAGATGATACCAATAATTATTACCAAAAAGAATACTTAAATATTTTAATACCAAATGGCCTTCTACCATATATGTTTATTGTCAAGTTTATTATTTTTTACGTATGTTAGTGTCATCGTATATATAATAAACAACAACAGCAACCCAGTATAATCTCACTAGTGGGGTCTGGGGAGGGTAGTGTGTACACAGACCTTACCCCTACCCTGGGGTAGAGAGGTTGTTTCCAAATGACCCTCGGCATCCTTCCCTCCAAGAACTCCCCACCTTGCTCTTGGGGTGACTCGAACTCACAACCTCTTGGTTGGAAGTGGATGGTGCTTACCATCAGAGCAACCCACTTTACCATCATCGTATATATAATAGACTAAGTTAAATTGATATTACGTTGTATATAGATTGATTTTGAAGAAAAGTATGCCCGCCATGCTATTGAAAATTTTAGATCCGCTGAATAGCTTATGTAATAGCACACAAATGGTATATAGAAGTTTTGACAATAACATCATACATGAAAAAATTATGATACTGGTCAATGTGCTTCTAAGTATATTTTTATCTCTTAATTCAACTTTCGTCTTCCAAAACTAAAGAATATCCTTTTAAATGTGTGTGAAAATAATTTTCAGTATGTTTATATTTTGCAATTATTGGACTATGTTTATCGCAATAAGTTTTCTTGCACGGACAACTATATGTTGCACTTTCAAGAGGAATATCAATATCGACAACAAGACAAGGTTATGGCAGAGCAACCAAAGCATTAGAAGGAAACATACACAAAAAAAAATATCGTCTACAAAGAAGTGTTCAGTAAGATACCATCACATTAAATACTTTTAAACTATAATACATAATTATCTAACTAACATGACCAAATTAATCATTGTGTGAGTTTTGATGATGTCCTTTCATTTTGAATTCACTTATTATGCTAATGTAATAATATTTTCCGCCATTTAGATGATTCTTGTATTATTATACATAATTTTTTTCTCGTTAATTAAATTTTATTGTTCCTTCATATAAATAAATGTTTAAACTATCACGCGTCATTAATAACGTGCAACGCACGTTCATCGATACTAGTACTATATTAAAAGTGGAAAGCCCGTAAGTCAAAAGTTAAATTATTTTAATGCCCTTTTTATTAACCTAAATACCTATTTTTAAATGTTTCAAAAATTGAAAAACTAACGCCTATAACAAACTCCTTGACTGTCACAACGCTTCACATACAGCCCATTCTAAATAACATACTATTAACCGACGCCTACAAACAACATATTCTAAGCCAACGCTTCATAAAGAAAAATGCTTTTGTACAAACTCCGCAATTTTCTGTCAGAGTCCAACCAATTGAAATAATTGGCACAATCTTTTTTTTAAAACAGTCATGGATCTAAGTCTTTTTTAATCATTGATATTCTGCGGTTGCTTAGTTCAAATCTTTTTTTATTTTTTTTGGTGTGTAGTAAACTAGCTTTTTTGTATTTATGCTTGTGATATTTGGATTACTGAATACCATAGAATTAACATAAGAAGAACAGCATATGATTTAATTAATATCTTCGTGGCTAATTAAAATGAATAGATCATATCACACATATTATGAATTGAATGCATGCTTCTATTTTTTTTTGTATGATTTCTTTGTGTTCTTATTTCATTTTTTTGTGATAGTGCTCATAAAAGATGATGTTTTATCAATCTACTTTTGAGCATTATAATGTTTTTGAAAAAGGTGTAAGGCTATATCTACTAGAGTAACACTTTGTTGGATGACAACGTGTATGTTTGTAACTTTGGATATTGTTCACGGGGTTTCTTAGCAACCTTTTAATATTAGCTTTTCTAAGGGGAAAAAAAAAAGAAAAAGAAAATACGCTTTCAAATATTTTAATTAGAAGATAGAGCATGTCGAATTCATCTAAAATCAATATGCACTTTTCATAAGCTTGATGAAAGTGATAGATCAAAGGAGACTCTATGGAACGTGAAAATTTAGGCAACGCACCAAGTTGATTACTTAATTTTTTTGATGTGTAGAATCAAAAATATTGTGAAGGGATGTTGTATTTTGTTGTATTACTTAATTTTTTTGATGTGTAGAATCAAAAAAATTGTGAAGGGATGTTGTATTTTGTTGTATGTGGATTCTGAGTGTTCGTGTGTACATTCATTTTCATTTGCATGCAGGTAGTAGAGAGTGTGTGTAAAGATGCCATGTAAAATTAGAATTGTAATGAAATTATCTGATGGTGCAGTGTAAAAATGGTATTACTAATGTGTGAAAGAATCTGCGAGAATATAATAAATATGTGATTATATATGTGAATATATTTTGAGGAGAGTTAATTAATGGCATAAAAAAAAAATGAAAAAGTATGGATTTGTTATGTGCAGTTACAGCTTGTGTGAGCTGTTAGTTTTACATCCATCATCTCTTGCAGCGTTAGTTTTAAAGGATTGCTAGGAAAAGAAACAAACTCTAGCCAATTAATCCTATGGCGCAAACAAGGTACGCAAAGTTTGGTGTTTGTTTGTAAGAAACTTTCAAAGTTTGATGTTTGTTTAGAATGAATTTTCAAAAGTTTATGCTGTACTTTTAAAGAATATCAATGTGAACAAAAAGAGTGTTGATCATGACAGAGCAATCACAATGAATGAAAGGGATATACACCAAAAATACCGTATATGAGAAAGTATTAAATGAGCTACACTTAATTATATGTTTGTTCCTCATAAAATAAAAATATGTAAAAGAATCGCATGTATCTTTATAGGTTCGAACAAGTACAATATTACGATCCATATTAATCAATCACATAAAATTATACTTTATTTTTTCATGTATTTTACTCAAAATTTGTTTAAATAATATTGATATTATTTTGCGAAACCATATATAATACTATGACTTGATACACACATGGGAAGAAACTAGTAATAATAAAACCCCAACCTTAACGCACAAGAAAATACGGCTACCCTCACAATTCATTTCGATTTTTACATTTCCGGGAAGATAATTGCAAGAGAAAAATAACATACTCACACCTGCTATTTATACATTAGCAAACACTAATCTACCATGATTAAGTGATGAACTGAGGTGAATATATATACTACTGATTAACCATACTTAAGTGAGAGAACTATGAGAAAATCCCACATTATATATTCATTGTTCTGGTGTATCACCGAATGCAAATAATTAGATGCATCCCCTACAAAGTACAGTACCAGTTCCATCTTTTTTTTTTATGATTACTACCAACCTTATTTATAATACCGCGTTGAAATTACCAAAGATTTTATAGCACCAACATTCGCGATTCAACAAAAAGCACTTGGTTTGGACACAAAAAAGGGCAAACTACCGAGTTTTTTTAAGTTTTTGTGGATTAGAGACGGAGTAACAAGTAAATACAAATACTTAAAGGCTGAGATAACATAGGAAGGAAAAGCTCAAAAGTCAAAAATGGCCCCTTAATTCAAGTACCGACACCAACTCTCTCCCCACCACCCCAACTCCCCCAGGCAAATCATCATCTTCAGCATCCAGCCACTCTAAAAGCCAGCAACCACAATAATCAAAACTGTTATTGATATAAAAACATAGTAGGAGTCGGGAAGAAGAGAAATGAAGTGATTGCATTAGACACATTACCCATGGAACAAGCGGTAAGTCAATTCTACCAGCTCCTGAAAGTTCTATAATAAAAATTCCTCCCACAATCCAGACTATATACACTCATGTTCCGGAGTGGTGACAGAGGTACAGCACAAGATGGGCAAGCTCTCATCAGAATCGGTAGTTTACAAATGCCTTGAAAGGGTACAAGTGTTCGCCAAGTCACTCCTGGAATGTCCTATTCAAGGCTATTAGTGCAAATATGTAGCTGTGATAAACCAGACAAAATCAAGTTAGAAGAATCTATGCGACCTCAGGTGATGTAACATTTCAACCTTGAAATTACTGTGCTACATATTTTGCTTCTCTCGCAAATCAGTACAACGGAAGCAAGCCCTGAAATGATCTCTTCAGGAACCATATCTGCTCCCAGCTTGCAAGGCAAACTCACGTTAACTTTGTAGCACAAAGCAGTGGCATGAGGACCAAATAAGCAATTACATCCACAAGAAGGATTTTGTCACCTTGTTCATACCTTCTTAGCTACAGCAAAGTCGAAACCTTTAGGGAGATGTTTTCCAGTCAAACTGAAGGTTATTGAAACCATTGACTGCTCCTAGACCACTAAGTAATTGGTTTCCCAAATCTTGTTGCTGTTGACTCATACTTTGCTCTCGTGACATTGGCATGCCTACTCTTCCATTCATAGCCACGGAATTATTACCTAATGCAGCCCGAATTCCATTGGCCATTGCAGCCTGGCTCAGTCCGTTGCCCATGTTGCCATATCCTGGACCCATACCTATATTAGCATTTGCTGTCCCATTCCCAACAAGGCAGCTGCTTCCATTAAGAATGGAATTATTAGCAGTTGCTATCATACCATTTACACTTTTAATATCATTCACCATGGTACCACCACCTACAAGGCCACCTCCACCAAGTTGGGAAGACATCATCATATCATGTATGATCTTTTGTACAGAACTTTGAGAGTCATTAGCATCAATATCACCTGAAAGAGTGGGTTGATGAACTGAAATATTCGGGGAATTGGCAGAATTCACATGTGGTCCTGATGATAAGCCACCATGAGAAGTTTGTGGTGGATTGCTTGATGAACACGGTGTTGGGGATTGGAACGTAGACGGGTTTGGTTGAGATTGTGGCATTGTATTTGAAGAACTTGGTGAAGGCATTTGAACAGCATTTCCCGCATAGGGGCTATTCACACCATTTCCTGCATAAGGGCTGTTCACACCATTCATTGGGGTCTGTTGCCTAGAGGTCATGGAATTTTGATGCAATAGCCGAACAACAGAACTACTAGACGAAGTAACAGATGCTGGGTTCAAAGAGTTGTTTACACTTGGAATCCCATTACTGGAAGCAAGTTGCATTGCACCAGCCTGGACAGAGCTGTCGTGGTTTGAGTTCTGACTGGCCGTCTGTTGTTGCTGTTGCTGCTGCTGAGACTGTAACTGTGGCTGCTGCTGAGACTGATCCTCAGATGGTTGAGCTGGATCATGTACCCCAACCGATGAACCATTCCTACGAGGAAACTTAGCCAAGCTCTCTGAAAAGCCAAATTTCAAGCACAAATTGTAAGGTTTAAAGAACTGTATCAATCCCAACATTCATGCAGTACTCTCAGGGTTAAGTTCTTACACTACACAACCCACTACTTTATATTCGAGAAGCTCTTTTTTTTTTTTGAATCAGTATTTTACCTCCGACAACTTAAAGGCACATAGAATGAAATCTGCATTCAAACACAGCCAGTTTGGGTTTTTTCACCTGTACATTAGTAGTTACCAGTTGCCACCTCAAAAAGCAATTCATCGTCTTTAGTGAAAATTTAACTTTAGATGATAACATTTATGCCTTGTGATGAAAACCGATCGTATCCTAATCTCTAAACCATCAAACAGCAGAGAAAGATTAGCCCATGCAACCTCATTTTGATCTTTGAGATTAATAGGTAGGTACAGAAAACCTTGAGCTAGCCTCAGGAACAAGTAGAGGTACACAAGCAGACTTACCCATAGGCCCTGTCCTTGTCTCTCTGCTGTAGTCAATCAAATCTTTCATGCTATTAACAACTTCTGATATCTGCAATTGCACCAGCAGTACATAGCAGAATAAGAAATTATATCCCATGAAACTGTTAATTGAAAGGAAGATTAAAACAAAATCAGAAGAATTATCACTTGAATGCACCACATGTGCAATTTTCAGTCAGTTTATTTTTATAGTGAAAATGTCATTGGAAAAAAGTCTAGGCCTACGTGAAAAACACTTGGAAAGTAAAAAGAAGGGGGGAAATCGCTGAACTGGAAGTTATCTTGTACCATTAGACCCTTTATGACGCAATGAAATAAAATTGTGGAAATAGGGTAACATCTGAAAAGTGAAAGAAAACGTTTCTCAACAGGAACAGAGTTACATCAGAAATCTCTATCCCAAGAATAGGCCAAAATACATTCTGTCTACTTCACACATTAACTCATGAGCAGAGTTACCAGTACGAATCTCCAATATTGAGAAAAGAAAATTGTCAACATCCCTGAGCTGCTACATGCTAGAAATTTGAATTTTGACCTTTCAGCTTTGCTTTGAATTCCACGGGAAGATGACAGATTAAAAGGAGAGGGGGGGGG